GCAAGTATCCCAAGCTGGGAATACGCGTTCGATATGTCAAATTAAAAAACATTATTTTAAATACATAATTAAAATGTATTTCTACAGCTCTTATCCTGTAATTATTAAAATGTTATAGATGGACTGTGGTGAATGTGAATGGATCAGTGGTGAACTCTGCCAGCGGTTTCGACATCTTAATTTCAAGATCTTTTCAATATTGTATCGGAATCTATTCTTAAATATACTCTGAATCATCTATTGAATACATAAAATGGTTGTTATGAACAAACTATTTACATTTCTTCTAGAAATGTAGATATGTATATCTAAATCAAAGATATAATGCATCAAGCAGTTTTATTTCGCAAAATTACAAATGAACCTGTAAGACAACATTTAAATTTTTATTTTGAAGATATAAACTTTCAGATATTGGAAAGGAAATGTAAAATGTTGAGCTTTTATTAGGATTTAAATCATCAATATATATATATATATATATATTGAAAATAGAGCAATCCTCAAATAAATCTTTAATTAAAAAAGGCATATATTGAATCAAAATATCATTTATTTTACCAATATTTCAGTTGGCTGAACGCCAACCTTTATCAAGGTGTTATAACATATTTAATGTGTGTCAAAATCAAACTCAGCGCCACATCTATATATATAAAAATGAATGTTTGTATGTTTGTTTGTTTGTTGGTATGTCCGGTATACAAATTCGCAGTAGTTCACTAATTCAAACCAAAATTTCCATACATAGGTAAAAAAATAACGGGGGTGACGATAGGCTATTTTAAAAAATATATAAATCAATTATTAAAACTATATATTCAAATTATTCAACTTAGCTCACGAGCAGCGCCCTCTATCAATACTAAAAGGTTATAAATACGTTTAAACCAATCGTGATGAAACTTTGGGAAGATGTTTAGTATACTACCGGGATGGTTTCTGGCTAATTACTCTTTAGAAATAACCTTTCGTTGCATTTTTATTTACAATAAAACGTAAATTCACTCGCAATCAGCGCCCCCTCGCGGCAGACGTATGGCCTTGAATAGCCTCGCATGAGCTTATTTGTAACGTCAAGCTTAGCCTATAGGTTAGGTACACAGCTTCGTACCCCCGCAACCTAGTTTCGAGGCTCAGCGTGGGTGTTTTTTTTTTTCATTTCTTTTATATTATTGTAGCAAATTATTAAAAATATTATTTTATTTAAAATGTACGTTTTATATATATAAAAATATATATAAAAATATTTAAAAATATATATATATATAAAATATATATAAAAATATATATATAAAAATGAATGTTTGTATGTTTGTTTGTTTGTTGGTCTGTTGGTATGTCCGGTATACAAATTCGCAGTAGTTCACTAATTCAAACCAAAATTTCCATACATAGGTAAAAAATAACGGGGGTGACGATAGGCTATTTTAAAAAATATATAAATCAATTATTAAAACTATATATTCAAATTATTCAACTTAGCTCACGAGCAGCGCCCTCTATCAATACTAAAAGGTTATAAATACGTTTAAAATCTAAATCTTCTCAATATTTTATTAATAATAGTCCGCTTAATAACACATATAATATAAATATTTATATAATAACTGCTCTAATTTGAAATATTTGGTAGGTTTTATTTATTTATATATTTTCAATTTTAGATATAACTGATCTAATTCGACGTTTAAAATAACTGCTCTTGAAATATTTGGTATGTTTTATTTATTTATATATTTTCATTTTTAGATATAACTGATCTAATTCGCCGTTTAAAATAACTGCTCTAATTCGAAATATTTGGTATGTTTTATTTGTGTTCACTATATTTCTATTTATTTGAGGTATTATAATTTTCATGTTTCAAAAACCTATTTCAAAAAGGTCGTTAGAAATATGTAAGGCCTGAAATAGCTTTACATGCGAATATTTATGATGCCAAGCGTGGCTTAATGGTTAGGTGTATGGCTTCGTATTTCCACAACCTTGGTTCGAAACTTAGCCTGGGTGCTTTTTTTTTTTAAATATTATTGAAGCAAAGTTTTTTTTTTACAGTACCAAAATTTCCATATATAGGTAAACAAATACGAGGAAAACGATAGGCTATTTTAAATTATATATAAATTAAATATTAAAACTATATATTCAAATTATTCTACTTAGTTCACGAACAGCGCCCTCTATCAAGGTTATAAATACGTTTAAAATCGATATCTTCTCAAAATTTTATTAATAATAGTGTTCGCTTAATAATTAGAATACTTGATCTAAATCGAGATATTTATAGACGCTCGCTCGATTTGAAGATTTACACATGTGTATATCGTAACTAATCTAACTGTAAAGTTTGGAGCGGGACGTTTCACAAAAGTGACGTCCACGGTGCCAATTTATAATTGTAACGAATAGTATTTGAATAAAAACATTTAATCGGGTAAAACCCGGGCGTTGCCCGGGTCATTCGTCTAGTAACGTCAATAGAATTAAGTTTAAGAAATATCTTTGCTTATATATATTAAATGGGGGGATATATATATACATATATATTAGAAATAAAGAAGGCATCTCCTGACCACGAGCACATGTGCTTTTTATTTTTAACTAGACGAATGACCCGGGCAACGCCCGGGTTTTACCCGATTAAATGTTTTTATTCAAATACTATTCGTTACAATTATAAATTGGCACCGTGGACGTCACTTTTGTGAAACGTCCCGCTCCAAACTTTACAGTTAGATTAGTTACGATATACACATGTGTAAATCTTCAAATCGAGCGAGCGTCTATAAATATCTCGATTTAGATCAAGTATTCTAATTATTAAGCGAACTATTATTAATAAAATTTTGAGAAGATATCGATTTTAAACGTATTTATAACCTTGATAGAGGGCGCTGTTCGTGAGCTAAGTAGAATAATTTGAATATATAGTTTTAATATTTAATTTATATATAATTTAAAATAGCCTATCGTTTTCCTCGTATTTGTTTACCTATATATGGAAATTTTGGTACTTTAAAAAAAAAACTTTGCTTCAATAATATTTTTTTAAAAAAGCACCCAGGCTAAGTTTCGAACCAAGGTTGTGGAAATACGAAGCCATACACCTAACCATTAAGCCACGCTTGGCATCATAAATATTCGCATGTAAAGCTATTTCAGGCCTTACATATTTCTAACGACCTTTTTGAAATAGGTTTTTGAAACATGGAAATTATAATACCTCAAATAAATAGAAATATAGTGAACACAAATAAAACCTACCAAATATTTCAAATTAGAGCAGTTATTATATAAATATTTATATTATATGTGTTATTAAGCGAACTATATTAGTAATTTAAACGGCGAATTAGATCAGTTATATCTAAAATTGAAAATATATAAATAAATAAAACCTACCAAATATTTCAAATTAGAGCAGTTATTATATAAATATTTATATTATATGTGTTATTAAGCGAACTATTATTAATAAAATATTGAGAAGATTTAGATTTTAAACGTATTTATAACCTTTTAGTATTGATAGAGGGCGCTGCTCGTGAGCTAAGTTGAATAATTTGAATATATAGTTTTAATAATTGATTTATATATTTTTTAAAATAGCCTATCGTCACCCCCGTTATTTTTTACCTATGTATGGAAATTTTGGTTTGAATTAGTGAACTACTGCGAATTTGTATACCGGACATACCAACAGACCAACAAACAAACAAACATACAAACATTCATTTTTATATATTTTTTTTATATATATTTTTTATATATATATTTTTTTAAATATTTTTATATATATTTTTATATATATAAAACGTACATTTTAAATAAAATAATATTTTTAATAATTTGCTACAATAATATAAAAGAAATGAAAAAAAAAAACACCCACGCTGAGCCTCGAACCTAGGTTGCGGGGGTACGAAGCTGTGTACCTAACCTATAGGCTAAGCTTGACGTTACAAATAAGCTCATGCGAGGCTATTCAAGGCCATACGTCTGCCGCGAGGGGGCGCTGATTGCGAGTGAATTTACGTTTTATTGTAAATAAAAATGCAACGAAAGGTTATTTCTAAAGAGTAATTAGCCAGAAACCATCCCGGTAGTATACTAAACATCTTCCCAAAGTTTCATCACGATTGGTTTAAACGTATTTATAACCTTTTAGTATTGATAGAGGGCGCTGCTCGTGAGCTAAGTTGAATAATTTGAATATATAGTTTTAATAATTGATTTATATATTTTTTAAAATAGCCTATCGTCACCCCCGTTATTTTTTACCTATGTATGGAAATTTTGGTTTGAATTAGTGAACTACTGCGAATTTGTATACCGGACATACCAACAGACCAACAAACAAACAAACATACAAACATTCATTTTTATATATATAGATATCAACACCTGACCCACTTATCTTTTATTTTTTCTATTGTTTTTTCATATATATATATGTGTTGAAAATATGAGATTTTCTGCTGACTTTGAAATATTTTGGAATATACAGAATTATTAGCTGTTGCTTGATTTTGTTATCCATGAGTATTTTACGATATTGTTTTACAGTCGTGGTAATAATGCTAAAATAGTTCAGATCATTATTTCCTTAATTTTTGCTCATTAATATAAACATAATTAGAGAAAAGTTCTGTCTGTCTTAAGGCGAATAGAACAAGGAAAACAAAATATTATTTACATAATTACAAAGGTTTTAGCCGGCCATCGGGAAACAACATCAAGGGGTTATACACAATAAGTATAAGCAGAAAGCGCGACCTCTGGCGGTCGACTTAACAGAGTATTTGAATCTATAATACATTATAAAGGACTGCGGCGTGTGATTATAAACAATACTTAAAATTATACCGCATAAGTTTCTTTTCCACGAAAAATCAATATTCATTTCAAAGAGAAATATTTATTATTTCTAACTTTTTTGAATGAAGTATGAGAGGGTGAAAATATGAAGAGTAATGGCGAACGGGAAAAATAAAAGTGTCCAGGGGCGGGAATCGAACCCACAACCTTCTGCTTACCGGGCTGGTGCCATGTCCACTAGGCTACCCTGGACGTTATTTCTCCGTTCGTAAATAACGTCCAGGGTAGCCTAGTGGACATGGCACCTGCCCGGTAAGCAGAAGGTTGTGGGTTCGATTCCCGCCCCTGGACACTTTTATTTTTCCCGTTCGCCATTACTCTTCATATTTTCACCCTCTCATACTTCATTCAAAAAAGTTAGAAATAGTAAATATTTCTCTTTGAAATAAATATTGATTTTTCGTGGAAAAGAAACTTATGCGGTATAATTTTAAGTATTGTTTATTTGAATCTATGATAGATATTTAAAATAAAATAATATTTTAAATAACACCTTTATACAAAATATATGTGGAAGGATATTTTTATATATGAGTTACGATTAACATGTAAAATCTTCAAGTTTGGAGTCTATCGAATTTTAGACTTCTCTATTTATGACAAACAACCGTTGTTAAAATACAAAGTCGCCCTATTTAAAATATTTTAGGAATTGAAACCTGAATGAGATATATGAAAAATGTCATTTACCTATGTCCTTTTTCAATTTTCTAATTTTAATTTTTTAAACTTAACAACTCATGTTTTGGGTTTTCCCATCGGTCGCATATCTTTTGCGATTTATTTATCCACCAATAAAAACCTATATATGTAAATATGGACAAAATATTTTAATGAAGTTTTATGTATATAATATATTTTTAAGTTTTTAATTTGAAAAAACTTCTCTTTTAGAGCTCTTATTTCTCGATATATTAATATATACAGTTTTCAGCGTCATGCAAAATTCTTTCTTAATCAATTCTGTCACCGTTTGCTTTGTGAATGAAATAAATACCCAAATATGGCCATTTCTCATAACCATCGGTGGTTCAGTGGTAGAATGCTCGCCTGCCACGCGGGCGGCCTGGGTTCGATTCCCGGCCGATGCATTTTCTTTTTTTTTACAATTTTTGAAACTCATTTATCTATATTAATAAAATGCAAATTTCATAAGTGTACAACACTAAAAACTTTCGTTACAATGCATTAATTTCAACCAAATTTTCAACATTTATGTAAAACGAGATGGAGCAGGTTTTGCTTAACATCAAAATATGTTTCCCTAACATTAACATGCGTAATTTCGCTGTAATCGATTAAATACAAAAAAAAATCAACAGAGTTAATTTTATTTATATATAAATACAAAATTAAATTTCAACAGAGTTAATTTTTTTACATACTAGCTAATAATCTCAATCTAAAAAAATATTCAAAACAAGCAATTTTAAGATAACACCATATGTAAAACAGTCGGCCAAGAAAACAAATAACGTGTAATATATATATAATACTAGCGGATGTACCCGGCTTCGCCCGGGTTTTACCCGAGTAAAGGTTTGTCTAACGAACATTTGTTAAAACATTGCTCTATAAACTTAAAAAAACAAAAAATAGATATATTTTGATAATTTGAAACTCGTAAATTTGAATCTCTCGATAAAGTGAACATTTTTTCCCGGTCCCTTGAAAAATACTCGATAAGTTGAATAAAATCAATATTAATTGGTTCCCTCAGTAATTGGAAGTTAAAGGAATAGTATTTTGCCTTGGAATTGTATCATTATTCTTGTCTCAAATAAATTGCCGTGTCTTCCTGAATTTTGTCTTTCCTAATTTTCTACATTACAAATCATCGTTTTATCTAGTGAACATTTTTTCCCGGTCCTTTGAAAAATACTCGATAAGTTGAATAAAATCAATATTAATTGGTTCCCTCGGTAATTGGAAGTTAAAGGAATAGTATCTTTGCCTTGGAATTGTATCATTTTTCTTGTCTCAAATAAATTGCCGAGATATCCTGAATTTTGTCTTTTCTAATTTTCTACATTACAAAATCATCATTTTATCTATTCTCCCAATATATATGTTGTAGATAAATGATAAAACTAACTTTGACTTTTGCGCAATTAATAGGTAGAAAATCTTACTTTTGATAAATAATCTTTCAGATAATAAACTTAGTGATAAGAAAGTTAATAGATAAAAAAACTTGTTATCATCGTCGCAATGGGGGCGCTGCTTTCGAGTTAAATCTACAAATCTGCAAATAACTCTAAGGATATTCAAGAAATTATTTTTCAAAAACCTTCCCGGGGATATAGCTAATAATAGCCCAAAATTTCACGGCGATTGGATGTATGGTTTTAGAATCTATAGAGTACAGACAGACAGACAAACAGACAGACATTCAATTTTATATATATATATAGATTATACAAATTGAGACAAAATATTCTAAAAATATATATCTCTAATAAGAAAACAAATAAATAAATATAGGCCTCTAGAAAATAACTAAGGAAGCAAGGAATACATATTAGGCTTTAGTTATCATTAGGAGATGTCTATCTGGTTCCCATCGTTGCTATTCAGAGGCGATTTCTGTATTTATCTTCATATATTTTCAGTTTTTAAATAGGTTTTTCAATAAAGATTGATCTTATAGTTAGGTATGTAAATATTAAGTAGATATGTATATAAGGAGGGAATGTCTATCATGAAGAGCTGCTTTAATCGACGTTAGGGCTGGAAAGTTCTGGTTTGTGACATTCACCCACTTTTAGTGAGGTAAAGAAATGAATTATTTCTCGTGTTTTCGAAGACATCAGCTCTCTATTTCTATTTTCCGCTGTAGGAGCTACCAATGATGACTTTGTATATGTTATATATATATATATTGTTGCACCAGGTTGCGGCTTGGCAGACTCTTCAGCCTGAATTCTCTCCTGTGCTGGGTCTTGCATCTTACCAGAGCGTGTTTCAACCATCCTACAAATTTATAAAAGGGAATAATGAGATAAGTCTTCTTTAAGTAGCCACCAGAATCCTTTATTTATTTTCTCACATCAAAGAGAGCAGTGAAGTCACACGTGTACCTAAATACAAATGATGACAATCTAAATAATCTGTGTTTTAAATATCATAGAATATTTTATATAAAAATAAATAAATATATAATTTAAATTTCAAATATATTAAAAATAATATAAGAAATACGCCATTAATCATGATGTAACACTTCCCCCTCTCCAGAGGTCGTCACGTCCTCGTGAGTTACCTCATCAATTCTCTCAAAATAGGGTTTGAGTCTTGAGACATGGACAATCAATGGGTCTTGGCCAGGATTATCTTTTGGCTCAATTAAGTAATTTACGTTAGACAGCTTCTTTAATATTCTATATGGGCCAAAATATTTTCTCAGTAGTTTCTCACACTTTCCTATTTTCCTAATTGGTGTCCAAACTGCTACTAATTCTCCTGGTTCGTAGCTTCTTTCCATGTGATTCTTGTCATAGTTCTTTTTCATTCTTTCTTGAGTCTTTATTGTGTTGTTAATAACTAAACTTCTTGTTCTGTTTATTTTGTCTAAGTGATGTTTTATGTATTCCTCATAATCATCTTTGTCAATGTCCACCGAGATATTCCTGTCGTCCAAAAGAGACGTGGGTTCTCTTCCAAACATCAGGAAAAAGGGAGAATATCCTGTGGTTTCCTGAATTGTAGTATTGTAAGCGTGAGTGATGAATGGGAGTATTTCGTCCCAATTTTTCTGATCAGTGTTCACATACATACTGAGCATATTGATCAATGTTCTATTTAACCGCTCTGTCAATCCATTAGTCTGGGGATGATAGCTCGTTGTGAAGCAATGTTTAATCTTGCACGTTTTCATCACCTTTTTCATTAAATTACTGGTAAATTGAGAGCCTCTGTCACTAATAAGATATTGTGGGGCTCCGTGCCGAAGAAAAATATCCTCTACTAGAAATTTTGAAACTTCTTTCACTGTTGCTTCCGAGACTGCTCTTGTTTCTGCATATCTAGTGTAGTAGTCCGTCAGCACGATTATCCATTTTTTCCTGTTTTTCGTAGATGGTAGTGGACCAACAAAGTCAATTCCAATTCTTTCGAAAGGAAAGTTGGCTGGGGGGATGTGCTGTAGTAGGCCAGAAGGTAATTGGTTTGAGCCTTTCCTACTTTGGCAAAGGTGACACGTCTTAACGAATTCTGAGACATCCTTTAGCATGGATGGCCAAAAGTATTTACTCTTTATTCGGTACATGGTTCTGGCGACGCCCAGATGGCCATTCGACATATGATTGTGATATTCTTTCATAATTTCTCTCTTTTTATTCTCTGGAACCACAAGCAACCACGCCCTGCCTTCAGGGTTCGGGTTTTTCTTAAAGAGGCATCCATCTTCTTCTTTAAAGTTTTGCGCAATTGATCGCCTGCTTCCATTAAGGTTTTTCTTAACACTTTCGATAAATTTATCCTCTTCGTCTGTTATTTGATTTAAAAATAGCCTTTCAAAATCCTCATCCCAATCAGTTTCTGGTAAGGGCCCCCTAGATAAGCCATCGGCGTCCAGATGCTTCTTTCCCGATTTATGTATTATATCGAAGTCATATTCTTGAATTTTCAATGCCCATCTTGCCAATCGACCTGTTGGATCCTTCAAGTTTTTGAGCCAGCATAAGGCGTGATGGTCTGTTACTATTTTAAAGTGTCTTCCATAAAGGTAGGGTCGTAATTTTGACATTGACCAGACAACGGCCAGACATTCTTTTTCAGTGGTTGAATAATTTTGCTCCGCTTTACTTAGGGTACGACTCAAGTATGAGATCACCTTCTCTTCACCACCGATGTCTTGGACAAGTGTTGCACCTATGCCGATGTTGGACGCATCAGTATGAACATAAGTAGGTGCATTTGGATTGAAGTGACCTAAAATTGGTGGACTTAATAGTGCTGTTTTTAGGGTTTGAAACGCTTCCTCTTGTCTTTCTGTCCAGGTAAATGATACACTTTTTTTTATAAGGTTGGTCAAAGGGTCAGCAATTTTTGAAAAGTCTTTGATAAATTTTCTATAATATGAACACATTCCCAAAAAGGATTGTACTTCTTTGACCTTTTTGGGCCGAGGAAAATTTCTGACAGCTTTGATGTTATGTTCCGCGGGTTTTATACCATGTTTGCTCGTTATA